TGAATAGAATAGCTTTCACTCACAGGGGTTCAGAATTCCTGGACATTGACGCTTCGTTGCCTAGAGTCGAACTCTGTCAAGTTAGTAGCTTGTGACCTCATCAGCTGGCTCCTTCTATTTCCCTCTGAGTGAGGATATGTTCCAATTTCTGACTGTTAGTTCCTACTATCATTGTGGTTTCCGTGAGAGCCATACATGACGTGTTATAATAGCATTGCTCTGTCTGTGTCTTCCATTCAGAAAGGGTAGCTGCTCCGTTACCAACCATTACCGTACTGTAATTCCTCTCCCCCCGAAGCTGCCAGAAGGCGTGAAGCAGGTTCTGATCTCCATCTTTCCGCAGTCTGCCTGAGTTCTGCAACATCCTGCACCGCCTTTGGAAATCTGGGCCACGAACGAGCCGGTATAATGTTCGATACGGGCAGTACCACGATGGACTGGTCGCTGGATTTTGTGGGAGACCTCGCCACCATCCTCAGCTCTCCTCCTTTCTCATCCGAATTTGGAATCAGCATTGGCGGATATGGTAATGCTATTGGTCCTAATGTTGCAGAGCCTTTGGGTAATGTAAAATTATGGTAATTGGTTTCAGCTAATGAAATGGATCTGATCCTCTCCCCATTCAAATTTTCGGTGAATGAATGTGTTTCTCCGTGATATGACAATACATGAAGTTTATGATATTTATTTACTAGTCTTTGCATTTAATCGATTTAATCATAAAATGGGTTAAATTTCTTAGGCCTCTACTTATTGAAAGAAAATTTTTTATTCGGTATCTTAATTACTTGATTAGATATTGATTCAATCGGTGTGCGAAACTATGGCTCCAAAACTCGTTGCCGAAGATATACCGTTATTGTTCAGTCTTCTGTCTGATGTGTTCCCTGGAGTTCCCTATGGAAAGGCTCAGATGGAGAGGTACTGCTGAAGAGTCGGTTTACATATTATAGCATTGCAATGAACTATTTTCAGATTGCGAGCAGAAATGCATAAAGTGTGCTCTGAATGGTTCCTTTGTTACGCTGAAAGCGCTGGCGACGTTGGCTATGCTTGGACAGAGAAAGTTATTCAACTTTACCAGATCACTCAACTGAACCACGGTCTTATGATGGTTGGCACATCAGGTACCGGCAAATCGATGGCGTGGAGAGTGCTTCTGGCTGCCCTGCAGCGCGTTGACGGTGTCGAGGGAGTCGCGCACGTCATAGATCCGAAGGCCATATCCAAAGATTCTTTGTACGGTACATTAGATCCGAACACTCGTGAGTGGACCGATGGATTGTTCACCTCTATTTTGAGAAAGTAAGAGTTTTGAAACGTTACAGACAAATTGACAGGGCGCGGAGCTTAATATCTTTTGAAGTCCATTGCAGTCCATTTGAAGTCCTTTTGAAGTCCATTGAAGTTCAGTATTCTGGGAAAATAAAAATCTTCGTAGTTTAATGTTTTAATTCACATGATATAATCCTTTAGTAAGTTACAAACGGGAAGACCACGCATAAAATGTTCTTTAATTAGAGACATCTGACGTTTCGGACCAAACTCGGTCCGTCTTCGGAGTACATTAACAAGAGCACGTAGTATTTCTCATTATATTACTGGTGCCGTCCTTGTTTACTGGTTTTGATTGGCCGCCTGATGTTTGCGGTCCATGTGTCGCTGACGTGTGTTCCAAGGTCACGGTTGATACAGTTGGTTGCTCTGATCAGTAACGCTTCTTTGACTTGCGGGAAAGACATTGTTGTTCCCGCGTGACGCCTTTCATTTTGTCCCGTGAGATGTTGTGTTGATGGGTAACAGCATGTTCCACAGTGGCAGAATTTTTCTCACATTCTGCCTTTACAACCCCAGGGTCTTTCGTCTGTCTCCGACCTCTGCTGACTCTGCTGTTGGCCCCTTTCTCTAGCATCAGTGTTCTTCCACATGATCAGATTTCTCTTGTGGTCTGTCTTCCTTTCTTCAACCGTGTTACCCGTTTCGCCTATGTAAACCCTGACTACAGGTGCGAAAATGTCACGACCGTGTTCTGCTCAAACGATTCCCTATTCTCCGAACAGCAAATAGACAGTGTGACTACGCCGTATAAAACAGAAGTTGGAGGAAAATAAAATTGGTGCCTTATTTATTTTTCTTCTGAGTATGTGGGCGATCAGGAAATATTTACCTTGTTATTTGCCAGTTTTATCATCGACGAACCGGGTATTAAAATAATAAAAGGGCGTAAAAAAGCAATAAGCCTAGTTTTAATTAGTCGATCAGTCAGATCTACTGAGTAAAACAACACGATAAGTTCCAAAAACCTGGATATAGCAAATGAACAAATGCAAAACAAAAAAAAGATTATGAAAACCGATTCCTAACTGAGAGAGAGAGTAGAGTCTCCCGGGATGATCAAACGGATAGCAAACGATTTCTTCCAAAGCGAGAAGGTTCTCTTCATTCATGGGATGAAGCCAAATTTCTTGTAAGAGAATGAGACGAGTGTTGCTGAAAAATTGCATGGCGAAAAGGACCTTTGGCACCTTATGTAACTTTGGAAGAATGGCCTCCAATTTTTGTAAATTCTCGCTAGAAAATGCAAGCTTTTTCCGAGTATTCTTTTTGCAGCATTTTGTCATTCGCCTTTTCTGCCGTGTCTGGTATTCCGAATACATTCACAATTTGCTGTTAAAGCAACCAAGACAGAGGCATCAAGAAATCGTGGGGGTTGGCAGGTGCTGCAACTAAATATGCACGTTGTTGACATTTATGATGGCGTCAGTACCGTGTGGAGCAGCTGGCTTAATTTTACGGGGTCTTCGCCACTGTCCCCCACCCTGCTCGTTTTTCATTCGGACCTGGTACTGACAATCTCAAAGTTACAGTAAAATTCGACACTCACTATGCGTAATTCATAGATCATTTTCCTCGCCTTGCTTTCGTCTTACTCAGATTTCGTTTAGAATTATTGACAACGTTCGGGGAGAAATTACCAAAAGACAGTGGATCATATTCGATGGTGATGTGGATCCGGAATGGGTCGAAAATCTGAATTCTGTCTTGGACGACAACAAACTGCTAACGTTGCCCAACGGCGAGCGACTGGCGCTGCCTCCAAATGTGATTAAGCGATCGACATATTTTTCTTTTAAACTATTTAACTTTTAATGGTGCTTGTACTCTTTTCGTTAAGGCAGTGAGAGACCAGTACCGTAGGATGCCATACTAGTGTCAATTTGCTGGACAGCAGTTGGTAGTGTTGTATTAACCTGAATGTTGGGTTGTGGTGAAAAGACCTGAAGGCATCTAGGTTCGTAGGAACGAAAATGGTTTGTGGATGTGTGGTGTCAACAGAATACGTCTGCTTTCAAAACACCATCACAAGAGGACGGTTCGGATAGATACAATAATGAAAAGCTGACTGAAACTAAGATTCATGTGTTCGGCTGTGCGCAAAATGACCTAGTGATTGCATAGATAGTGTAGTGTAAAATAATACCAAGAAGGATGGAAACAGGAAGAACAGTGAAAAGGTAAGTATTACTGTGAATGACCATTTAATATTTCTTGAGATCGCCTATGTCTTCAATAAAGTTCAGCGAATTTTAGAAAATTGATTGATTCCTTGAGTCATTAGGTTGGAGAAATAGACCGTTCAGGACTACAAGGAAGTAGCCATTTTTATGGTAAAAACAAACATTATTGAACCATAGCAGTCTAATGCAATCAGTTTCAAGTTACTATACTAGGAATTACGCTTTACAACAGCGATATTCTGTGCACAAGGTGATTGGGAAATTATCTTTCTCGTTTCTCTACCACAGTGGACAATTGAAGAAGTTGTTAATATTAAGTTTGAGCTTCTATGGTAAGCCTGCTGATGTCGGGAAATAGAATTTAACCACGTCGCAGAGCGAATTATATTTTGAAGTATTTTCAAGTTCATCTTGGTTAAGTGCCCAGAGAATAGTTATCAGTAGTTTACCAAAATTTGATCCTCAAGGAACGCACCTACTGTAAACAGATCAGTCTTACATTTTTCATGGGATATCGTTAAGCTGCTGCCTATTTATTTCTGATACATAAATATTAAAATGTTTTATAGATATTTCATCTATTCGTTTTGTTTTTAAGGTGAGGATTATGTTTGAAGTACAAGATCTTAAATTTGCGACGCTCGCAACCGTTTCTCGGTGCGGCATGATATGGTTCTCAGAAGACGTGGTCACCGCCGAAATGTGCCTCGAGAACTATTGCCAGCGACTTCGAAACGGTATTTTAGACGACACGAAGGTAACTGGTTTCCAGCGACGAAATACTGCATCAGCCGCCTTGCAACAGGGCATCGGTGCTCCGGAACAGTTTGCTAAAGATGAGTCGCCGTCGCAGAGTTCTAAGGTTCGTGCCTTTCGAAAATCGTGATCGTTTCAAACCCGCGTCTTTGAAATAATTTAAATTCAAAGCTGTAGTACATATAGTCCAATATATTGCTTGTTTTCACCAACCTTTTCTTCCTTCAAATGTTTTTGACTTTGGAAACTTTTAAAAGTTTTGTTCAATTTAACTTTTTAAAATTTGTATACAAATTTGATGAATCCTTTACGAGATGGCACTGCAAATCGAACTTTTTGTTTATATATTGTCCAAGGTTTTGGAACGTCTTCAAATAGAAATATATTGTAAAACATAATTTTGCAGTAGAAATTGGCATCAGCTTGGCTATTGAAGCTTTAACCTCAACCGCGGAAGCTGCTTCATAATTTCGATCCAGTGCTAACTTAGCTTTTTTAAAAAGGAAAGAATTAAGCAGTAAATACATCTTGCTTTCATTCGTTGTGGCTGTCATCCAATAATTCAGCTGCTATTTATTCATAGTTTTATCTATAATCCTGTATTTCTTGCTTGCATTGACATTTATTTCTTAGCTCCTTTTTTTGCGCTGGTAAAAAGATTGTTTAGTATTTGTTAGACTGGTAAACTTTAAACTTGTTTATGTATTTTTTGGGTGAGTAGATTTTTTATGCTTCAATTCACATCTCAATCCTATTTTGCGTCTCAGCCATTTTCGAAATTTCATCATCATTTTATCACTTTTAGCTGTTGGCCAGCATCGTACAAATTCTCTTGCCACATTTCGCTGCCGACGGTTTGGTTCAGCGATGTCTCGAATATGCGCAGAGCAATTTGGATCACGTAATGGAGTTTACTGTCGGTCGTGCACTGACCTCATTTTTCTCCATGCTCAATCATTACGTTCGTCAAATGGAGGCTCACCAGCAGCACAGTGACTTTGAGATTCAGGTAATTTTGTTTATTTACGTTTTGTTTTGCATGAACGTGATTACTTTTTTCACTACAGTACGATCATTTGGAACGTTATATTTCGAAAGCGTTAATCATTTGCATAACCTGGTCTTTCTCTGGAGACGGGAAAGTGAAAGGCAGGCAGGATTTGTGCAATTTTATCCGAAGTATGACTACAATGGCGTTGCCACCTCAAGAAAACGTGCCCATCACCGATTTTGAAGTAATTTTTTGAAAATATTTTTTACGACATAGTGCCTGTTGTTCAAGGTATCGATAAACGGTGAGTGGGAACCGTGGCAGAATAAGGTGCCGCAGATCGAAGTCGAAATTCACAAGGTTGCTGCCCCTGACATCGTTGTACCAACGATTGATACGGTGTTGCATGAAAACTTGCTATACACTTGGCTTGCGGAGCATAAACCGCTGCTGCTGTGTGGACCGCCAGGCAGTGGCAAAACGATGACGTTGTTTTCTTCGCTTCGTTCTTTGCCAGACTTAGAGGTTTCGCTGAATCGCGCTTATCTTATTGATCACGGCACCAACCCTCGCTTTGTAGGTAGTGGGACTGAACTTTTCCAGTGCGACCACACCGGAGCTGCTCTTGAAGACATTCGACCATTATTGCGAGTACAAAAGAACACCCAACGGAGTCGTTCTTTGCCCAATTCAGCTGTCCAAGTGGATTGTACTTTTCTGCGATGAAATCAATCTGCCGGATCTCGACAAATATGGTAATATGATGTGTGAATAATCGAAAATTCATCGTTGTTCAATTTATTTTGATCTGTTTGTTGAAACTCTTGTGTAGTCAAAGAAGCCATATAAATGGCAACCATCTTGTGCAAATGGAATAGTGATTTTGAAACAAGTATTTCTAGAAGTTGGGTATGCTTCCCTAAGTGGACTGTAAAGAAATTTGTTGCTGCTTTCCAGATGAGCTAGCTTGTGGTTCCCTTTTAGCACAGATCATGAGAGACTGCTTAATATTTGCACATCTTTATGCTTTTTCTTGTAATCGAAAGCCGCAGAAAACGTGGCGTTTTTGCGTAAGCAAATTATTTATTCACCGTTTCGTGGTATGATAAACCTCTCCTTATTACTTTATTACCGTATGATTGATTTCTGATTATGTTTCTATGGCATACTAAGGCGGTTCATTCTTTTCTTGGTTGTGGTTTAGTTGCTTTCCGCAGTCCGTGTGAGGTTCTAAGCTTTAGGGCAAAAGGCATTGCGCTGTCTAAGATGTATTTGTGTGAAATATAATCAGTGCATGGGAAAAAATACTGTGCTATTTTTTGAAATTAGGAGAATCTATTCGAAGGTGGTTTTAACCTGAACATCAGCCTTATGGTTCTAGTCGTGCTTTTCAAAAGTATTTTGATGTGTAAAAAGCCAGCTAAATGGTCATAAGAGATGAATAAATGAATGAGTTCAAACTTAAAACGTATTTAACTTAAACGTATGTAATCGTACACATGATTAGTGAGCTGTTAATGGATGGAACATTGGAACCGCAGATACTCATTTGTTAATGATCTATGTAAAACTTACTGAGAATGCAGTGTTTCGCTTTTGTACCCTTCCCCTTTAAGTTGTCCACAAATAGGTTAAGGCTTTTTTCAGGTGTCGTATTTTTGTAAAATGGATCATCTTTTAGTGTTTATATTAATAAAAATTTGATTATCATACTGTCGAGTTCAGGGTCTTTTCGATCGCGGTCATTAATCACATAAATAGGTCAATTTTATTAGGTACTCAACGGGTTATATCGTTTCTGCGCCAGCTCGTGGAACATGGCGGATTCTACCGAACATCTGATCATGCTTGGGTGACAACGGAAAGAATACAGTTTGTTGGTGCATGCAATCCTCCGACGGATCCCGGCAGAAAACCTTTGTCAGCCAGGTTAGCAGAACGGTTCCTTTGCTTTTTCTGCGGTTACATGTTCTGCTTATGGTTCATCGCACAAATGTCAAAATTTGTCATATATGTTGATTCATTGAATGATTTCTTGATACACAATTGAAGTATAAAAATGTAATGCATAGATTATTACATTTATTACTTAACAGTCCATTATTGGGAAGGAATTGCGTCGGTTGTTAAGTAAAATTTAACCTTTCGTGTTTAACATAGGGTAGCATTAGCCATTTACTAAAAAAAACTAGTCAACTGAGCACTCATGGGTTTAGAATAAAACGTGATTTAGGAAGTGTCATAGTCTTCAAAGGGTTTACACGGCATGTGAATTTTATTACATAAATTCCCAACAGTTCGTACCCGACCGGATTCATCTTCAAGGGGCATAATTCAACGGACTAGATAACAAAAAGTACACTTGGACAAAGTTCCTAATGTCGCTGTGTACTGTGCAGTGATCTTAAGGGTAATACAAATATGATCGATAAAATTGTTAATACGTACTACAGTTCAAGATAATAAGTTTATTTGTAAATCAGCTTTGGTCTTTCTCATATCCAGACTAATGACAAAGCTTCGCCACTGTCTTTATTAAGACATTCATATTCCTGTGTCAATAACGCTTCTATTTTCTTACGCCTCAGATAGTCTCCAGCGCCGTACACCTTTCATGTTTTTCCGGTCGACAGTGTGACCTCTTTCACCGCGTGTTCAATCATTGTGAATTTTTTCGCATTATTTCTTTATTTTCATTGGGTACTTAATCTTTTTTTATCTACGTCATTTTTGTTTTTGTCCATGTTCCCTTTGATCGACATTACTCCATCTAATGAGGTGCGAATGGTGATTTTTCTTCCTATCATCGAGTCTGTTGCCGGTTTCCCCAACATACGCAGCTTTGCATTCGCATTGTATAGTATAGCAGCCGAATGTTTACCTGCTTTTCGATGGTTTTTACGTCGGTGAGCTGGCTGCGAAGCGCGTCATTAGGCTTGAAGAGTAACCTTAGACAAAGCTTCGAGGCATTTCTTCATAGTTTCTGGTGGTGACCAGATACGCAAAGAATGACTACTGTTGGGACGTTGATGTCCCACGTTTTGGCTGATTTTGCTTCGTTCTCTCATTTCATTTCCTGCGTTTTGATGGCTTCATTGATGAGTTCAGTTGAATAGCCGCTCGTCCTTAAGCTGTTAAGAATATATGCGTATTTTACGTATGTAATATGACTATAAATAAAAATACAATACCTACTGCCTCCTGTCATTTCTGTCCGGATTTACACATCATACCGCACCGTCTCCTTCCTGCTGATAGTCTAGATGATCATTTGAGCAAATCACGGCTTCATGATATTTTACCCCATACCGTGTATGGTAGCGCGCTGAACAGCTCAACTTGTTAGGTCGAACAAACACGCGTTCGAATACCAACAAATATATCTCAATCCTCACACGCGCTAAAATATCATTAAGCCGTGACCTACGCAAATGGTTTCCTTAGCTGCTAGAAGCAAGGAGCTACGATGTGTAAATCCGCGAATATTGCGGACGGTATTGAAAACTAGCAGTTCGTTAGCAAGCCCATGATACCCGGTTCATTTCTAGTAGAATTCGTACTTATTTCATTGAATTTTGTATGAAAATTAAGTTCAGTCCAGTATCTCGTTCCATTTCAAACTT